GTGGTCGCGGTGAGCTGAGATCGCACCGCTGCTGGAACCAGGGAAGCAGTGGTCGCAGTGAGCTGAGATCGCACCGCTGCACTTCAGCGTGGGTGGATAGAGTGATACTGTCTAACGTAAAAAAAGTACACATTTATTGTATATGTGTGGTGATTAATTTTAGGTGTCAACTTGACGGGGTTAAGGAACACCTAGGGAACTGGTAAAGCATGGCTTCTGGGTGTGTCTGTGCGGGTATTTCAGAGATTGGCCTGAGAGTTGGTGGACTAAGTGGGTATGATCTGTCCTCAATGTGGGTGGGGTCACCTAATCAGATGAGGGCCCACATAGAACAAAAAAAGAGATACAAGGACTTGCCCTCTCTTTCTCCTAAAGCTGGCATACTCTCCTCCTCCTGTACATGCTCTCTTGCCTTGGGGACTCTAGAATTTACACTAGCAGCCCCCTGGGTTCTCAGGCCTTTGGCTTTAGACCGAGAACTACACCACAGGCTTACCTAGTTCTAAGACTTTTGGAATTAGACTGAGCCATGCTACCAGCAGCCCAGGGTTTCTAGCCTGTTGTGGAACTTCTCATCCTTCATAATCACATGAGTCAATTCCCCTGATAAACCCCTTATCATCTGTCTATCTATCTATCTATCTATCTATCTATCTATCTATCTATCCATCTATCTATCTATCTCCTATTGATTTGGTCTCTCTGGAGAACCCTAATATAGTAAGTTATACATACTATATTAGTTGATTAAAAAGAAAGGCACCCACATCTAGATTCATTCTAGAAAGTTTTGAAGTACATAGATTAAAAAAAAAAAATTCTAAGACCATGTAGACAGAAAAATCAGATAACTTTCAAAAAACAAAAAAATGTGGGCCGGGCGCAGTGGCTCACACCTGTAATTCCAGCACTTTGGGAGGCCAAGGCGGACGGATCACGAGGTCTGGAGACGGACACCATCATGGCTAACATGGTGAAAACCCATCTCTACTAAAAACACAAAATTAGCCAGGCGTGGTGGCGGGCGCCTGTAGTCCCAGCTACTCGGGAGGCTGAGGCAAGAGAATCGCTTTAACCTGGGAGGCGGAGGTTGCAGTGAGCTGAGATCGCGCCACTGCACTCCAGCCTGGGCGACAGAGCGAGACTCCATCTCAAAAAAAAAAAAATTATTTCTCCTCAGAAATACTAGATAAGAGATGATAATGGTAACATGTACAGTTGTTAAAGAGGGGAAAAAGTGATTCAAGAATGTTATACTTCAGTTAATAGGGTTGTTACAAATAAAAATATATAAAAAAAGAATGTTATACCTAGCCAAGGATTGTTCATAAGTGAGTACAACAAAAAGCCAATCTAAATATGGGAGGGCTCAGAAAATGTACCATTCATCCAGTCTTCTAAAAAAAAAAAAAATTGAAGCTATTTCCCAGCCAACTTAAGAGCTCAAGAATGAAGAAAGTCTAAATATTTATTATGAAATCATTTAAAACTGAATGAAAATATAACACAATAATAGTAATTCCTAGAAAAGACATAATACAAAAAGTTACAGAGAAAATGTGAGTCCCAAATCCCAAGTTTTATTAAGTAAAACTGGAGAATACGGGTGCAGAAGGATAATGGAGTAAATACCCATCCAATTCCTTATTTGATACGAAGTCCAGAGATATTGGTTAACTAAATTGTAAAACATCCATTTATAGGATACTCATGGCCATAAAAATAATGAGGAAAGGCCGGGTGCAATGGCTCATGCCCACAATCTTAGCCCTTTGGGAGGCCAAGGCGGACAGATTGCCTGAGCTCAGGAGTTCGAGACCAGCCTGGGCAACACAGTAAAACCCTGTCTCTACTAAAATACAAAACATTAGCTGGGCACGGTGGCGTGCGCCTGTAGTCCCAGCTACTCGGGAGGCTGAGGCAGGAGAACTGCTTGAACCCAGAAAGCAAAGGTTGCAGTGAGCCAAGATCACGCCACTGCACTCCAGCATGGGCGACAGAGTGAAACTCCGTCTCCAAAAAATAAACAATAGTAAAAAACAAATAATGAGGATGCTCTTTATGCTCTGTTACAAAATATCTATAAATAAATTTATTCTAAAAGGGAAAGCACAATGCAAAAATGTGTCTAGCATGCTACAATTTGTACAACAAAAGAGAAAAAAACATATTATTCAAGAGAAATTGGTAACCGTGGTTGCTTGGGGAAGTGTTACTGGGTGTCTGAGAAATAGAGGTAAGAAAAACACTTCATTGCAAATAATGCTTTGTCCTTTGTTCTTCTGTAAAGGAACCACGTAAATGTTACTTATTTTTAAAAATTAACATTTTAATTTTTTTTTTTTTTTTTTTGAGATGGAGTCTCGCTCTGTCACCCAGGCTGGAGTGCAGGGGCATGATCTCGGCTCACTGCAAGCTCCAGGTTCACGCCATTCTCCCGCCTCAGCCTCCTGAGTAGCTGGGACTACAGGTGCCCGCCACCACGCCTGGCTAATTGTGTGTGTGTGTGTGTGTGTGTGTGTGTGTGTTTGTGTGTGTGTTGGCTTTTTTTGTTTGTTTTTGTTTTTTGTATTTTTAGTACAGATAGGGTTTCACCATGTTAACCAGGATGGTCTCAATCTCCTGACCTCATGATCCACCCGCCTCGGCCTCCCAAAGTGCTGGGATTACAGGCGTGAGCCACCGCGACAGCCTAAATGTGTTGTTTTTAAGAATCAAGTAAGGCCGGGTGCGGTGGCTCACGCCTGTAATCCCAGCACTTTGGGAGGCCGAGGCAGGCGGATCACAACGTCAAGAGATCAAGACCATCCTGGCTAACATGGTGAAACCCCATCTCTATTAAAAATACAAAAACTAGCCAGGCGTGGTGGTGGGCGCCTGTTGTCCCAGCTACTCGGGAGGCTGAGGCAGGAGAATCGCTTGAACCCAGAAGTCGGAGGTTGCCGTGAGCCGAGATCGCACCACTGCACTTCAGCCTGGCAACAGAGCGAGACTCCGTCTCAAAAAAAATAAATTAATTAATTAATTAAAACAAGTAAATATTCATCGGTGACTTCAGCACATATGTAAATCTAGCTTATGATAAAGACATTACAAAATTTAAAAATTCAATAAATGATCCTGAAGCAACTGGTTTTCTATTTGGACAAAAAAGACAATGTTTAGTCCTCATTTCACAACCTGATGATAATAAATTACAGACTGATTAAAGAGTTATAAAAATTAACTATAAAAACATTAGAACAAAATGAATCTTAGAGCAATCTAATACATTTAACTTCATAAAAACAGACACATCATATAAAATTAAAAGATATACCAAAAGCTGGGAACAATGCTTTTCACAAATATAAGAAATTAATATTTTTTAAAGAGCCAATAAAATTGAAAAATAAGACAAACTTGACAAAAACCTAAGTCTTCAGTATAAAAATGGGCAAAGGAAATAAACAGAAAATGAAAATAGTTAAGAAACATATAAGGACATGTGAACTCACTGATCATCAAAGTAATCCAAATTAAAGACAGACTTCTGCTGCCTCTCAGATGAGCCAAGTTCCAGGTGACCAGGACACTCACAACCACAGATGAATGTATAAATTGGCACAGAGTTTCTGAAAAGCATTATGGAATATGTACCAACAGCCTTAAACACATTCCAACTTTTGACTCCGTAATTCTAATCTTATGTAAAATGTCTCCCCTGGAATTTAATGCAACTTTATAATAGGAAAAGAAACTGAAATAATCAAAATATTTAATAGAGAAATGTTAAATTCTGATATATTCATATAAAAAATATTGTGCCAATGTTAAAATCATATTAAAATATTTAATGACCTGAAAAATGTTCAAGATACACTATAAGTGAAAAAAGCAGAATAAATACCATCATATGCTATCACAATTTGAGGATGATAACTGTACAAATCATACAGATTTTAAATACTGAAAGGAAATATAACAAAATCTTAACAATAATTTTCTATATAATTATTTAAATTTATTATTTTTAGTTTTCTATATAAAGTTTATATAATAAACATGTGGGAGGAGATGCCATATTTTAAATAAAGAAATAATATAACTATAAAAATGTTTCCTGGCCAGGCACAGTGGCTCACACCGTTGGGAGGCTGAAGCAGGCAGATCGCTTGAACCTAGGCATTCAAGACCAGCCTGGGCAACATCGCAAAATCTCATGTCTACAAAAAAAGTGCAAAAATTAGCTGGGTGTGGTGGCATGCACGTGTAGTTCCAGCTGCTTGGGAGGATGAGGTGGGAGGATCAATTGAGGCTGGCAGGTCAAGGCTGCAGTGAGCCGTGATCAAGCCACTGCACTCCAGCCCGGGCAACAGAGCGAGACCCTGTCTCTCAAATAAACAAATGCATTTTTTCCTGGCATCGACATGCTCAGGATCTCCACTGAAAAAGTTAAATGCTGCAATAAGAAGCAATTCATAAACACCACCTTGACGATGCATTAGTATGCCTTCCGTCTTTCTTATCCACCTTTGGTTCAGAACTTCATACAGTCACATGGGCAAACCATGTGTAGAACAGATACTTCACTAGAACAACTCCAGCGGGCCAGCCAGCAAGAGCACTACCTCTTAACATAATGAATAGCCATGTGCAGACACCATAACAAACTACAGACAACTCAACTGTAATGGTGTTTCCACGATACACTTGCCTGTCCAGAAAGTCTTCAATCAAGACCACCGACTTACGGCCCACACACCACCAGGTGAAAGCACTGCTGAAATAATCTATGAAGCGACAACTCGAGTCTGAAGCGCCCCGAATCCCATGCCCAGGCTCCTAAGCGTCCCTCCCCATCCCCTGCTTGTTTTCTCTGGCAGGATGGTTTACAGTATGTTCATTTCCAACCCAACTAATAAAGGGGCTCTTTAAAGTTCAGAAAAACACTGCTTATTGGGTTCCTGGGTCCAGCATGTGCGCAATACATGCATAAGCAGAGAACACGTGTACAGTACCTTCCCAAAGCTGCGTCGGCTTGGCAGAATTTTCCCCACTCATTAAAACAACAAAAGATGCAGCTGCTCGAACTGTAGCCTGCCATGTTGACATGGCAACGGGCGGCTCCTGGCACGGAAAAAGGGCCCTGTTGTTTACGGGAGACCCCACGGTGTAAACACACGGCCTGCAGAAGAGGCAGAGAGAGAAAGGGGAAAATCTTTAAAATGAGTTGTCACTTTTTGCACCACCGTGGTAGTGCAGGTTAAGTTGAGCTTTCAAAGAAAACATCTGAAACTTTGTAGTTGACTGGTTTCGAAGCATTTTGAACCGAAGCTGCCAAGGGCTGGCTATGTGAATAGCTGAGTGGTTATTTCTCTCAAATGAATTACTTAAATATGTAGAAAGAGGTGGTTTTTTTAAGGAGAAAAATATTTTTTGGATAAAGTTTTAAATACTAGTCGGCCAAGTTATAATTTATATTACCCTTGCCCCCTCCCCTCAGGCCCTGGTGCTTTCAAAAGAAAAGTTTTAGAGACATTCTTACAAACTTTTTGGAAAGCATTCTGGAAAAGAAAACATGTTTGGAGATCACTGAGATATTAATGCTTGGAAAAACAAGCTGGTGGTCTCAAATCCAGGGCTAGCAAGCAGATACCCCCAATCTTGGAAACCACCATCTCAAACGGAACCCTTGTGGGAATCCTTGTGTGGAGGCCAAGAACAGGGGCTGGCATATGAACAGGACTGCGGGTCACAACAACCAGGCTTGTGATGGGAAAGCCAAGGGTGCAGCATCGTCACCAAAGTCACCGTGTGCAAAACCAGCGACACGGCATTGGGCTCGTTCTGCTGCGATTAGAAAGCACAGCCCCACCCAAACCAAGACAGATTTGTCCCACGATAAAGTCATGGTTGATAAAGATGGAAAAGATTCTCAAGATCAAAGGGTCTACTTTGACACCAGAGTAAAAGGTTCAAGACTGACTCCTCAGAAAAAAACTCAGGCAAATGTTTCTACTTTCTGTTTTTCAGTTATGACAAATATGTAGTTTTAGTCAGCTTGACTTATAAAGTAAATGAACAGAGCAAAGCACTACTTCTTTTGGATAAACTGGTTTTCCTTTTTCATTAACATCATTATAACTGAGCATTTACTGTGTTCACACAACATGCGAGAAAACACAGAAAGATGGTTCGACTCCATCAGTCAGGGTCTAGTATGGAAAAGAGAAACCAGTCTAGGTCTTAACAAACAGGTAATTTAATTTTGGGAATGAGTTTAAATGATAGAAGAGCGGAGAAACCAACCAGGGGACAGTAAGACAATCCAGGGATTAGCCACAGCAGTAATCAGCTGTGACTCCTCAGACTGGTGGGGCTGGGTGCTACTGGGTTACGAGGCAGGAGTCACCTGGCAGAAGCCAGTCACAGTGCGGACTGTCCAGCGGGAGCCGGGACCACGGGAGACTCAGAGTCACACTGGGGACTGTCCGGCGGGAGCCGGGACCACGGGAGACTCAGAGTCACACTGGGGACTGTCCGGCGGGAGCCTGGACCACGGGAGACTCAGAGTCACACTGGGGACTGTCCGGCGGGAGCCGGGACCACGGGAGACTCAGAGTCACACTGGGGACTGTCCGGCGGGAGCCGGGACCACGGGAGACTCAGAGTCACACTGGGGACTGTCCGGCGGGAGCCGGGACCACGGGAGACTCAGAGTCACACTGGGGACTGTCCGGCGGGAGCCGGGACCACGGGAGACTCAGAGTCACACTGGGACTGTCCGGCGGGAGCCGGGACCACGGGAGACTCAGAGTCACACTGGGGACTGTCCGGCGGGAGCCGGGACCACGGGAGACTCAGAGTCACACTGGGGACTGTCCGGCGGGAGCCGGGACCACGGGAGACTCAGCCGCACTGGAGCTGCAAAGGAAAACAGGTGGAGGAGAACTATGTCACCTCCGGCCAGCTCCTGCTTTCAGATCTTCCACCAGTGGCCCCCATGGGCCAAACCTAGGAAGCCAGAAGACAAGAGAGCCTAGGAAATGAAGGTCCTTGTCACTTAGAGAAGATCACAATAACGGCAGAAAATGGATCTCAGCGCAAACAGGCAGTCATGGTAACGTGAAGGTTTGACACGGGGCAGGGGAAGACCAGAAAGGCGAAACACCGTTGTACCGCCTGGCTTGCCAACTTCCTCAGTGACTGCGGGGAAGCCCCTCACCTTCTGAGGCAAAAGGGGTGCTGGGCTGCTGAAGCGGGAGCAGGTCGTGGCTTCTATCGTCTGTTCTGTTCAGTGAGCACCTCACTTGCCGAGGGTAACGCTGGTCGTGGGGCTTTCCCTGCCTGCACAGGGAAGAAATCCTCCCCAAAAGACTGGCTTGCCAAGATGTTGGTCTCCTCTCTATAAGGCTGGCTTGCAGGCCATGCTAGCACATTATTATGCATTCCACTTGTGCCCTTAGTATGTGGCCCCCAAGGCTGCCTCCGTCAGCCTCCACACCACTTCGCCAAAGAAACAATCGGATTTGAGATGAGGTCACATCTTAGAAGTACTGCAGGACTTAGTAAGTGACGTGCTGAAGAAGAGGGAGAAGGAAAAGAAGACTTCTGTGAAGTAGCCAGCTGCCGAGCTGGCCTCCAATAACCCCTCCCTCCTAACATTTACATCCTTCCACACCGTACCAGGTCTGTGTGCTCAAGCAGACCTGTGCAGAGCGAGCGGGAGTCACAGTCCACTTATCCTACAAGTACGCAGGCCTGATATGCAAAGGTCTGACCCGGGGCAGGGAAAGGACAACAGGAAACAGCAGAGGTGATGGCAAGTCACTTCAGAGACTACTTTAAAATCTGTGGTTTTCATCTGAGACTCTCTTTTCTCGCTCTCTCCCCCATCGTTTACTCTGGGTCAGGAGTGTCATGAAGTCACCCAGGTAGCCCAGGGAGGCACCCACATGGTAAGAAACAGAGACCTTTGGTCAACAGTCAGTGAGGAACCAAGGCCTGCAACAGCCATGAGAGTGAGTCTGAAGGAGGGTTTCCAGCTCCTGGCACACCCTGAGACACCCGCAGCCCCGGCCGACAACTGGACGGTAACCTTGTAAGATATCCTGAGCAAGAGACACCGGCTAAGTTGCTCCTAGGTTCCCGAGCCTCAGGAACTGTGAGAGGTAATAAATGTCTGTTCTTTTAAACTGCTAAGTGTGGGGGTAATTTGTTATGCAGCCAGAGTTAACACAGACTTCTCGGAGGTTTCTGGCTCAAGTGATGGATGGTAAAGCTGCTGAACAAGAGAGAAAGATCAGGATGGGTCTTGGGAGAAAGACAGAGGGTGTGCACCTGTTTAATTTGCTTATAAAGGGCTTTACATGAGCACATGACAGAGGACACTGGTATGGACACAGAAAGGATGTTGACCTAATCCCAAACAGTGTGGTGTCCACGGATAGGTTCAAATGTCTGAAATCAGACCTGCCTCAGAAAATGTGAGAATGATGATTTGATGAAGAATGAAGCATAGATATTGTAGGCATATTTGAGTCAGTTGATGCGGTGGGGGGGAGGGGGCGGGGGCTTCCACTGACTGGATTAAAATCCACCATGTTGTCACCATCCTTTCCTTCCCAGTTCAGTGTTATGCCCTCTTTAGCGATCTAGTTCCAGACATTTTGTTATAGAATTTTGTCCTGATCCCTCTGTCATGCTCTAGAAAGCTCCTTCTGCCGCCGTGTATCTGCGCACCTGACCTCTCCCATCAGGGGGCTTAGTTACCTGGCCAGGCCCCCAGCAAGCTCTCACCTCCCCCTCCCCAGTGTCCTCACAATTCTCTATTCCCACCCTCCTCTTTCCATGGCTGGGTTATCTTTTCTGCTAAAGTCTAACATTTTTTTCTAGCTTCCTCTTGGTATCCAGAGCTATAACTCTCAACATGTAGATCAAGTTAGCAATCTAAAACCCACACCCCATGGATATACCCATGTCTGATACGAGACTCGATCAACATGTAGATCAAGTTAGCAATCTAAAACCCACACCCCATGGATATACCCATGTCTGATACGAGACTCGATCAACATGTAGACAATCTAAAAGCCACAACCCATTGATATACCCATGTCTGATACGAGACTCAATCACGTTCTCATTGAAATCCTTTCATAAGCAGGAAAACAATCACATAAGAGGGAGGTCTTAGGACCTTGAAAATGTGAATTCTCTTTGTGCTCCCAGCCTATTCTTTTCTTGACCTTTTTCTCTTTATCAGCCACAGGCTCACTCCTCCCTTCCCAACATGCCCAAATCAAGCCCTAGGGAGTTAAGAGTCTTTATAACCAATGGCTTTTTGCTCTTTTACAAGCTGACATCCTATGCATGTCTGACATCACAGTGCAAACCTGAAATCAATCTACAGTTGGGTAACTACATTTTAAGTATGAAGGTTTTATCCTCTGAATAAAGCTCTACTGGTGGAATCTTGGTCATCTACCAGGAAATTTAGGATGGGTGAACATGGGGCCTTCCCAGAGTCATGAAATCATACCCACTACACAGTGACTCCAGACTAAAAGTGGCCCCTATCACGCACACATTCAGATGAGAACTAGATGGAGGGCAGAGTCCCCCGCTTACCCATCCATGCCTTCCCCTCCACAGAAGGCAGGAAAATCTATGTGTGTCTATAAAAATGAATGTGTAAACACAGAAATAAATGCAGCTGTGTTTGTCTGACATGCACAGCCTTGCGCCTTGGCCATGCTACTAAAATACTCATAGGACAGACGTGCAGGCAGCCTGAAATTCTCCAATGCCTGTAACGTCACTATTTCTACATCGAGTAATTCCTTCCAACATAGGACAGACTTGCGGGCAGCAGCCTGAAATTCTCCAACGCCTGTAACGTCACTATTTCTACGTCAAGTAATTCCTTCCAACATAGGACAGACGTGCAGGCAGCAGCCTGAAATTCTCCAACGCCTGTAATGTCCACTATTTCTACATAGAGTAATTCCTTCCAACATAGGACAGACGTGCAGGCGCCTGAATTCTCCAAGCCTGTAATCAATTTCTACTCAATAATTCCTTCCATAGGACAGACGCGGCAGCAGCCTGAAATTCTCCAACGCCTGTAATGTCACTATTTCTACATCGAGTAATTCCTTCCAACATAGGACAGACGTGCGGGCA